ATGTATGTACTACCAAGTCATAGTCCCAGAAAAGGACAGAAATGCTTTACGCTTCTTATGGTGGGAGAATGACTCACTCGTGCATTATCGTATGCGCGTTCACCTGTTTGGAGGTAAGTGGGCAGGTAGTGCTAGTTGTTTTGCGCTTAGGCGCACTGTGCAGGATCATGACGTCACTGATTTGGTGCGTGGGACGGTTCAGCGGAATTTTTACATTGACGACATGTTGAAGTCTGTGAAGACAAAAGAAGATGCCCTTGAGGTAATTGTCGATGTGAAAAGGGCTCTTCGTGATGGGGGTTTCAAACTTACCAAATTTGTAGTCAATGATTCTGAGCTGTTAGATGTTATTGCCCATGAAGATCGGGCAGTTGAGGTGAAAGAGCTGACTCATGGGGTGCATGCAAAGGCGTTGGGTATGATGTGGGAAGTTGATTTGGATGTTTTTCACTATACTTTCAAAATTGACAAAGGTCAGGAGATTACTAGACGCAATGTGCTGAGCGTAGTGGCCAGTATGTATGACCCACTGGGTTTGATTGTTCCCGTCGTTTTACATGGTTCTTCAATAAATCTCTAGAAAATATAAATGTTTCTAAATGGTTTATTGTTGTTTCGGATGAAAAATTATAAGAAATTACAAAACTATAATAAAGCAATATATACGAAACTGTAAAACATTAGTTGTGAACCTTAATTTCTATCTTATAATATTACAATACATGATAAATATCTATTCAAAAAATCAAAAATACCACAAACACAAAATACCCTGGTGTTGCAAAATATCGCAGTTTTATGTACAATGTATACAGTTCACAGCGTTTCTATAAATGCATTCAAACTCCTTTTCATTTGTTCCCTTATTTGACCTCTCTCCACTTCAAAGCTAACAAGTTCTTCATTCTCCTCAACTACAGAATCATGCAGAGCACTTAATTTAACATTGATAATCAAGAAAAATAATTGGCAATCTGTTGTGTTAAAAGCCAATCTTCCTTAGGGCCCCTTTACACTGGACGGGCGTCCTTTCTGCGTCCTGTAGTGCGGATTCGTTTGAGAGTACAAAATTATAATACTTTACTTTCTGACACCTGGCCGATCACCTAATATTCATTTTTTCAACCAAAGAGATGCTTGTGCCTCCTTTTTACGACCACAGTGATGAAAGTTTTGTGGTCGCACAAAGGACGCAGAAAGGACGCCGCCCCAGTGTAAAGGGTGTTTTACTGAATAATCTGTGAACTTCCTCATTGATATTACCTCTCATCCTCTTGCTATTGTCACCCTTTTATGTCCATTTAAATATTCACTCTAGGATAAATAAATATGTTTTAAAAATATTAATGGAAGTATCTACCCGCCTCAGTTACACTGCTATGAATGAAGCATTGTCTCTTGATATTAAATCTGTTAATCAGTAACAATTCGACACTAACATTGTTACAAAACAGGTTAAGATTTATCCAGGGGTCTACAGCTCTCTTTCTGTACTTACCCATCTTTATATTTCTGTCAGACATATCTGGCGCTTTTTTTTTCGGACATATCTGGCCTGTCGGACACATCTGGCTCTTTTGTCAGACACATCTGGCCTGTCGGACACATCTGGCTCTTTTTTGTCGGACACATCTGGCCTGTCGGACACATCTGGCTCTTTTTTGTCGGACACATCTGGCCTGTCGGACACATCTGGCTCTTTTTTGTCGGACATATCTGGCTTTCTCTGGTCGTAGGTCATATCTGGTCTGTAGGACATATCTGGCCATCACAGAACTACTCTCAGATCTTGTGGCCATTGTTTTTGCCAACTTTTTGCTCTATTGTATGGGAGATGTGTGTGTAACTGCAACACGTGCAGTAATAAGTGTTCTGTAGTTGGTCATAGGGAGATGTGTTCATGTGTCACATGATGTGTCACAAGGATAAAATTGAGCTCCAGCCCTAACAGTCCAGTTCAGCAACACAGGTCTCCCCAGAGCATATAGTTCTATGTCCAAATCAGTAAATCAGAGTTTTTCAACGATACGGTCATGGCAACAGTGTGTGTGTGTGATCATTTAATTTTATGTTGTTACTATCCCCAATCTTGCAATTTAGTATCATATTGCATTTTGTCAGTGCGCAAACTAGTCGTAAACTGGCGTGAAGTGTGCATAAACCCGTTGTGACTGCATGTCATGTCGGGAAGAGCATTTTGAAATGTTCAAAATTTTGGTCACAACAAAATTTTGTGACCGGGTCTTAAACTATGCGCAAACTGTTTGTGAACTCGGCATGATGATGTGGGAGGATGCGTGCCAGTGCACCCCATGCCACTACTGTTACGAACTGCCACGAATAGTTCACGACCAGCTCGCGTCGTATTCACAAGTAGTTCATGACATGTTCACAAATTGGTGCCCTTTGCCACATTGTTGTGCCTTCCCACTGACACAGTCACACGTACTTCACGCATTGATGGCACAAGCAGTTCGTGACTAGTTTACCCACATCATGAACAATTTGCGCATGACACAAGCATTTCACCACGAGTCCACGAGCAGTTTATGAACAGTTCACAACTACTGCATGACAGTGGTGCTCGCGTCAGTGCAGGTGTATATATAGGCCTTCCTGGACACTGCTCACCATTCCAGAGATCGCCAGCGAAGAGACAACTTAAATCACAGAGATAATATGCCTAAAACATATCAGACACGAGGAAGAGCAAAGCAGAGAAGGCCAGAAGCTGACAGGCCAGAGGCAGAGACCGCAGTCATCCATATCAAGTGTTGATGTTATCCCGGAGACACAGCAGGATCCACTGGAAAGCCAGAGAAAACCATCGAGTGAGGATGGGCTACCAGAAGAAGCGGGTCCGGGTGTCCAAGAAAGAAATCCCTGAGTACTGCTGGACAGAAGAGGCCGAGTTGAGGTTGGCCAAGCTTTTGAAAGAGAACCCCCAGCTGTATGACAAGAAGCAGGAGTGGCTCAACGTGGCAGCCAAGAATAGCCGGTGGGACCGAGTTGGAGAACAGCTGGAGCCTCCTGCCACTGGTCCCCAATGATTCGTTAGCTTGTCGTGAACTATGTGTGAACTAGTTGGGAACAGTGCGGGAGCCTCTAACTTCGTGCCCCAAAATGGCACGACTTGCCACGACAAAATCGGGGCCAAAAGTCATGCAAGTGTCAGCCTTGAATAAGAAGCTTGACATGCAATGAAAGGGTTGTCAATCGGTACTTCAAGCATCTATCAATTGTCAACTTCCTGCCTTAGATACCTTACCCAAATCTAAAAAGATAGCTAGAAACACCTTGTTAGATGGGATTGCCAGTGGCATGGAGGCTAATAAGAAGTTTCTTGTGAGAGAAGAGTTGACATTAAAAAGCAGTTCAGTGGGGAGGTATCTCAAAATCTTATGGTCCACAAAGAGGAAGGCTTCAACTTCCTGTTTGGCAAGGATATTTCTAAGAAAGTTAAGAATGTAGAGGAATTGAGAATGTGGAGGAATTGAGGAAACTCAAATTTTCCCTTACAGGGAAAGCATGTTTTCACCCTTGTAAAGTTCAGTGTGTTCTTATCGCTGTGAACAATGCTTCCGGTACTATTTTGGCCCCTGCAGTGCACAATTCCAGTCATGCGCACATCGCACCTTTCGAATAATACTAATCGTATATAGAACATTATCATTTGGATTTTAATGATGATCCAGTGTTTTATAGTATTGAAGACGCTCATAGGTTTAGTGAAGAGAAAAATAAAGCTATTGATTCTGAAGTTGGAAAGCTGCTCAAGTTAGGTGTTACTTCAGTCTGCAGCCATGAAGCCAATGAATGCATAACTCCTATATTTGTGGTACCTAATTCTGCTGGAAGTTACGGTAATTCTCCAATCTATACGAATGCCGCAATAATTACGAACGAAACGTTTTTTCTCTGAATCTGAATTTTTTGTCTCTGTTCTGTACAGCGATCGCTAAACCCACCTTGGGCACAATTTAAATTTTCCGAACGCAAGAAAGTGTGCCCAAGTGAAACTCGCCCCATGATTCGTCAAAGCCAGTTTTCAGACCACCATTCCAAACAAAGGAACTGCCACTTGACAGGAGAGATTGTTATCATGTAGGCCCTATTTGTGCTGTTTTTGAATGAGACGATAGAAGGACTCAACCTGCCCGCCGGAAGCTGCAGACCAGTTTTAAAACCCTATTGTTATTTAGAAATTATTGAAAGCATCAGTACACATAAATTACTTACTGTTTATTATCATTTCTTAACTTCTGCCGGCCGACTGGATCATCAACATCCACCATCGGTGTTTCACCGATATCTGGATTCCAGGAAAATCTACAAATGTGAAACCCACGCACAACAGAAGAGTATGAGAAATCCAAAGTCAATGATAAGTTTTTCATTTGTTTTTGGTAGTCATTTGGAAATTAAATTTTTTAGAGGAGTTCCGTCTTGTATTGTATTTATTTTTCTAATATGAGTTGTGATAAAGTTCATGCTTTTTTTGTTTGTTTGTTTGTTTTTCCTTGTTAAAGACCTTGTCTCATGAACAACTATTAGGTTAACCTTACTGATATTGGTGATTGTGAAAAATAAAGGTGCTGTATGACTTTATACAAATTTGCCTGCAGTTTTCTGTGTTTTTTCTAATTAAGTTTACATTGATTGCGTGCAAATTAATATGCTGTTAAAGACTTTCATAATTAGACGTGAATTGAGCTGATGTTATTTTTTATATCAATATAATCTCTATTAACGTCAGTGATATCTACTGTGAGGAGTTTCAAGTATTTTGTNTGACATTATTCATATTGCAAATTTTCTATATGTGGAATCATATTAAAAGTAAACACGCAATAAATAAAATATGCAACTGGATACCCAAATATTCTTGTCTGTTTTTGACAGAAGTTGGGAAAAACGATGTTGTCCTGTCTTGGTAAAACAGAACAGGGAAAAACGATGTTGTCTTGTCTTGGGAGAAATGTACCTCTTTAGTATGAAGAAATTGTTTCTTAACTTTAATTCCCGACTTTTGTTTAGTTTGTTTTAATTCATTGCAATATCGCAAGAATAATTTGTTTGTGCTAAAAGCTGATCAAAGTGATTTAAGTTGAAAGTAATGCTTACACTTAGCGATGTAGGTAAGTGGAGATAACTTCCGGTACAGCCGTATTCCATTCGTATTTCAATGGATACGAATGCGTGGCAATTTTTAGCAGACTGAATTTCAAGCCTTACGAACAAAATGATTGTATTTCAAGCCTTACGAACAAAATGATTATCTTCCAAAAATAATTAATTTAAATCGTTCGTATAGATTGGAGAATTACCGTATAGACTTATTTTTAATTTAAAAAAATATATAGATTGGAGAATTACCGTATAGACTTATTTTTAATTTAAAAAAATATAACTCCATTATTGATTACAAACATTTTAAGATGAAAATGGGGAATAAATTTTAATTTTAAGAAAAATGACAAATGGGTGATGTTAACAGTGGCTATTTAGATATTTTTGCAAGGTGATTCCTTTTCTGAGTGTGCAATAGTCCCTTACCAAAATTTCCTATAGGATACTACA